CAACTTGGGCCAGTGAAGCAACGTCCTCCACAACTAGACTGAAGAACAAAATGATAGCAACTTATCTGTTCCCCTTCCCCCAATTCCCCAGCATTGTTCCCATCCCCCCAATTCCCCAATTAAAAAAAAAAATCTTTAAAAAAAAAAAAAAGAAAAAAGAAACAAGCTCATAGTACTTTCACCATTTACCTGATTTGGGATATAAACATCAGTCTGAGTTTTTACAAAAAAAAACAGGAGAATAACGTGTCCTTGTTTTTCTTTATCAACAGTTTTGTTATCCCTAAAATAATCTAACTACAGGCTTGATGGAAGACTGCAGACAGCATTTTTACTGAGTATAGAGAAGCTCTTTAAGCCTGAGATTTAGGATGCCAAGAAGCAGCAGAGGGAAGTGAAGAAGATTGAGGGAAAGGAGACCCATGGAGCACGGCTGTGGGCAATCTGGGAAGGCGAACTCGATCTCAGGGAATTCAGCATCAGGTAAATTACACCGGTGCAAACTATGAGCTGGAAAAAACTGCAAAACAAAACCAAAAATCCCACCCCACCCCCAAGAAAACCACAAGCCAACCAACCAGACAAGAAGACAATTAATCATCACATTTTATCCCTAAATAAGTTACAAAAAAATAGATATTATAGGGCAACCTCCAGTGCCCATGGATTCAGATGAATGAGCTGTCTTCAAGCTTGAATTCCATCTGGCTCCTCGACTAGCGGGATCCTCTGCTCCAGCAGGACTTATGGTATATTGCTCATGTGCACAGGCTGATTCAGTTAAAGCTCTGCCAGTGCCTGCTCTTCATGCTGTCTGCCCAGAGGCGTACAGTTAGCATCCCTTTGGCTCCTTACGGACCATAATCCTGTTCTCATGGTGGCTCACAAGGAGGCATGGATGCCTGCAGGCTTTGTCTTGGATCACATCCTCCGGCTTTTCCAAAGACACGCCAGGCCTGGGCCATTTTAAGAAGTTTTGCAAGATTGGGTTTAGTCTACGGGAAGAAAGAGAACAACTCCAATTATTAGTAGAAAAAGCCAAGTAGCATATAAATATTTCCTAATTCTGACTATTCAAATCTGTTTAGACAGCTAATTTCCTGCTTCAGAAAAGATGATAGATTTCCTTAGGATAAGAGACTCCCATCTCTTCAAGAATAGAGACATTGTCATGTGAAACAAAAAGTTTTTAATGGAGTAACATCTACTGGGTGAGTCAGAAAACACGTACCTGAAAGCTCCATGCAAGAAGGGACTTTATGGCCCTTGGCAGGAAAGGTAAGCAAAAGGTTTTGGAAAGCAGCAACGTGAACATTCCAATTACGCCCTCATGTTCTGTTTCATTTAAGATTATAACAAGGACAGAGCATGTTCTTTAATTTAAGCCACTCTGTGCCTTTACTGCATTATCCACATCATTGTTCCCCAGTTGCTGAGTCATCAGGGCCAGAGCCTAATGTGGAAATCTCCTACACTTGGTTCCCTGCCCAATGATCCACCAATCTTAACTCTAGAGATCCCTGGAGATGGCTACCATTTCCAGCAAGTAGCATCAAGCAACTGGCTGTTTAGATTATTTTTGCCAGCAGTGAATTTGCTGTGTTTCTACCCACTTTCTGTAGCCCCATTGAGAACTGCATCTTATCAAACCTCGAGTGAGTAGGCAGCAGATGTTCAGTTTGGACATGTGTTAAGCTTAAAAGAGTCCAAAGGCGTCAAGTGTATAATCTGACAGCTCAGCCTAACCTCCATTTTGAATTTGAGTTACAAGATGAAATGGTGAGACTTTATATAAAACTTCCAATGCATATTTTTCAAAACTCCCATATTTTGGAAAGGATTAAGAGAGATTACATTTGGAAAATGGGAGCTGGAAAAGAAACAGAAGATAAACTCTGTTTCCTCTTCTCCCATTGGTCATTCCTGTACCTGTTTTTCCTGCTCCAAGTGGTCTATGTCAGCCAATGGCAGCATGGAAGGTCTCCCATGAGCACACTGAAATGGCAGCTGGCAGCAGGACAGAGCTTCAATAAGGCGATAGCTCTCCTCTACGCTCAGGCCATCATTAAACTTAATGGCCCCTAAATGAAAGAAAGAAACAAGAAGGTTATGGTGTATATGGTGGGAAACCAATGCTGACCCTGGGTCAGAGCCAAATATCTGGGAAAAGTAAAATGTTTCTTAGGCGTCTTTCATGTGACTTTAATACTGCTTGAAATTGGCACTTATAATGGCCATGGATGCAACTCAGGCCTCAGGACTGACCTGTCTCAGCTTTTCCTTGTGGAGCTCTTGTCTTTCTAATCCCTGTCAGAGGCATTCCCTAATATGTTAGGATTCTGCTGTCAGGGTTTTTCTCAGAGAGACAAGAGCACTATTTCTGCCTACTTCTTACAGGTTTATGAAATCAAGGTCATCCTTTGCCCATAGCCAATCTATCACCAAGATCTCTCTCTGGTCACTATGATGTCCACTTTATTTGCTTTTTTCTATTTCCATAATAACCTTCCTAATCTCAACTATCATCCTGTCAGCACCTGCCTTTATGCATACAATAATTCACTCAGTCAACAAATATTTATAAGTATATACTTTGTATTAGGAGCTATGCCAAGCAGTGAGTGAGCAAGATGATTTCCACCCTCGTGAAGTTTATGATCTAATAGGTCTAACAGGTGAGATGAACAGTAAGCAAATAATTACACAATAATTTGAGTTATACATTAAATTATATATTTGTATTATATATTTAAATTATAAGTATTACATTATAAAATATAAAGAATGAATATATAATAGAAAACCAAACCTAGTTTAGGAGATTAGGGAAGGCTTTCCTGGCAAAATGATACTTAATCTGAGGCTTTAGGTAAAGAAAGACATGATAATTGACGGGGTAGAAAGGCATTCAGACAGGAAAAAGGCACATGCAGAAGTGCAGAAACACAAGAACAAGACTGAGAAGCAGGCTGGCATGTAAGGCAAAGTGGAGCGTGCTGTGAGATGAAACTGGAGAGGCAGACAGGGCCAGACCATGAAGACCCTTGCAGGCCATGGTAAAGAATAAAGTTTTTATCCTAAGAACAATGAATAGTCTTGACACATTTAGTTAGAAGAGCGACATATTCAGAGGGATGTTTCAAGACGATTCCTCTGGAAAGAGCGGGACAACTGGCTTGCAAGTGTGTCTCTGTATTGCACGCAACGAAAAAACGATTTAACGAGTGATGCTGAGAAGGGCAAGAAGATTTTTGTTCAGAAGTGTGCCCAGTGCCATGCTGTGGAAAAGGGAGGCAAGCATAAGACTGGGCCAAATGTCCATGCTCTGTTTGGGCGAAAGACAGGTCAGGCCCCTGGATTTTCTTACACGGATGCCAACAAGAACAAAGGATCTCATCACCTGGGGAGAGGAGACACTGATGGAGTATTTGGAGAATGCCAAGAAATACATCCCTGGAACAAAAAAGATCTTTACTGACATTAAGAATACTGCAGAGGGCCAGCTGAGTGGTGCGTTGGTTAAGAGCTGGCTTGGGACGCCAGCTCTGAGCAGCAGGGCCTCAGTTCAGATCCCACATGAGGGCCAGTGACACTGCCCTCTACAGCTAAGATGGTGAACAACAGCTCAACCTGGAGCTGGGCTTCCCTGAGTTGCCGGCGATGGCGTAGGCTGCAGCCCCTGCTGCAGTGGTCTGCCATAAGCTACCGTGTGTGGCCGGCAGCCAGCGTGAGCGGCCAGCAGCTGGTGTGAGCTGCCAAGAGCCATTGTAGGCGGCAGTCCAGAAGCCGGCAACTGATTTGCCTCATCCGGGAAGAGCGCAATGATCACAATGCCAACATGGGCCAGTGAAGCGACATTCTCCACAACTAGACTGAGGAGCAAAGGGACAGCAACTTGTCTGTTCCCCTTCCCCGATCACCCAACGCTGTTCCCCTCCCTCCCCCAATTCCCCAAAAAAAACCTTAAAAAAAAAAAAAAAGAAGACTACAGAAAGGGCAGACTTGATGGCTTATCTCAAAAAAGCTACTAAGGAGTAATGGTTGGCCACTGCCTTATTTATTTATTAAAACAGAAATGTCTCATGACTGTTTTTACGTGTACGATATTTAAGTTGACCTCATACACCAGAATTCAGATCATGAATGACTGATGAAACATTTCTTTGGGACAGTCCCGATTTAAATTAGATTGGCTTGTAGTTAAATGGATATGATCAGCTTTTCGAACTTGGATGGTAATTCAGTTCAGCAAGTGCTGTCGCTGTTTCCCCTTCTAATGGTATCGCTGGACGTGATTAGTCATTTCAATTTCTCACAGAGATGGTGAATGCCATCTCAAAACCTGAAGGAGACTGGTTTTATATTTAGATTTATATAACTGGTTATATGAGAGGAAATCCCTTCACTGTCTCATAGAGCAGCCAGACTCGCTTGTGTTTCAAGTTGTAGTCATTAGCCTGTGAAAAGGCAAGAGCTGAAGCTAAGGCGGCACTGGGCACTTTATCTTTTTGGTCCTAACTATGCCAATTTCATTAAAATTCCCTAGATCTAAGCTGTTGCCTTTTACTTAATGAAAGGCATTTTAGTGTGGTTTGTATATACTACCAAATAAAGAATATTTAACACTTCTCACATTTTATAGATGAGCTATAACAGCGGTTCTCAACCTGTGGGTCGCGACCCCTTGGGGTGTCAAACAACCCTTTCACAGGGGTCACCGGGTACTCGTATGTGGGTGAATCTGCATGTGGGCCTGGAGACGGATAGAGGAGCGGTGTCTCGGTTCCTAAGACCATCGAACATATGTGTTTTCCGATGGTCTTAGGCAACCCCTGTGAAAGGTTGAGAACCACTGATCTATAAGGTCAGAAGTTTTTAAAATGCAGCATGACAAGATATAGTAGCAAACTTTGCTTGTGAATTCTTTACTAAGTCAGACTAAGTTATAATTCAGGATTGTCTTTTACACAGCTATTCAAAAACACAACTGTATAACTACTGCATATATATGATTAGTAATGGTGCTTTTGCCAACTCATGAAAAGGATTATAGAGAATAGACCACCATCAGCACAAAATTGTAAATTATGTGATCCTAAGACTTAAGATAATTAAAAACAAAATCACAGATTAAAAAAAAAAGATTCCTCTGGATGCTGAGGGAAGAATGGCTTGAAGTGGAGCCAGATGGACGAGGGGAAGAGAGTGAGTAAGAGGACTCAACAGTGGCGAGAACTAGGGAGGCAGCCGTGGAAACAGATCACATCAGACAGATTTAAAATACATTCTGAAGGTAGGGATGATGAGATTTAGTTAGGGAGTAGATATAAGATAGAATAAAGGGGTGAAGGAGTTTAGGCTATTTGCAGGAGAGAGGTTAATGAGTGACTGGTTACTAAGCTGGAAAAGACAGGACGTGAAGAGAGAAGGCTGGTGCAGGAGATGAAACAGGGAAGGTGTCAGTAGAGTGGAGACCCCATTGTCAAGTGAGAGTTGCAGGGAGTTCTGTAGTTGTCATGATCCCTAACGGAAGTTCCTTCAATGCCATTTTCTGTATTTTCTCATATTGCCCAACTAAGAATCTTCAAAGATGCTAATGCCTTCAGTATAAAATCTAAAGGTTTTCTTGTAGGCATCTACTCTTTCTTCTAGGCATCTACTCTTTCTTACCAGCCTAATTTCTTGATACTCTTTGCTGCTCCTTATAGAACTAATTTGTTTGAGCCTCTGGTTCTCTGTACAGGCCATTTCCTCCCCCTGTAGTATACTTTCCCTTCCCTCCTATGAGTCCATGGCCCTCAGCTCATTCAAAACTCAACTCACTACGCATCTCCTCTAGGAGTTACTCCTCCACGCAGATAGTCATTGTGCCTTATATACAGATATGTGTGTTGGTATTTTGCTTTGTAATAGTAATATTTTAGTGTTCATTTTTAATGTATTCAGTTTCTTGATCCAAATTGTACCTTCCATGAGGTGAGTAGTAAATGTGCCTTATACTTCTTTCATAACTGCTGTACCCCTGCCAACGCACTCAATAGCTGGTGTGTTGAATCTTACCATGGCAGGCTTGGGATGCCAACACCTTCTGGACAGTCAGTGGCAAAGTCCCTTGGATGCCTCCTGTGGTCTGGAGTAGCTAATGCATAAACACATTCTTTATTAATGGGAAAAGGAAACGGGGCAATGGAGCCTTTTGTGTGTGGTGGCTTTGTGTGAAACCCCCAAATAAGAGAAAGTTTTACCTCCACTTGTTCTCGAATAAGTTCCTACAAAGCAAAAAGGAAAACAGGCATTAATCTACAGCTATGTTACACTTACCCTTCGACAGTTTACAAAATATCCCAATCTTCTTCCTTAAAATGTGCTTCCTGAAGGAGTTCCAGCAATATAGCACTTAGGTGCAAATAATTTATTTGTTGTCAGGTACTTTGAATATGAAATACAACTGACTAGACATTCAAAGTACATAGACAATACAAGACAACTGAACAGAACTCTTAGTGAAGAGAGAACATATTTAGCTACTCAGACTTCCACCAGAGATAACTCATGAGGTTATGTAACTGGTGAGTGGAGAGCCTTGATGAGTCAACTGATTCTAAACATCAGGGAGGCGTCTCGCTGAGAGGCTGTTTGTATTTATAATCTCAGCCAGAACAAGTGTAATATTACCCAGAAACAGAATAAATACACAACAGTCATCAACACAACTGCGCCCTCAGTATAACACTTGCTTAAATATCATAAACAGAAGTAGTCACTTTAGTTCCCACGGGCTTTCTTTTTTTTGGACAATTCCCTTCAGGTCAAAAAGCTTATTTTTTGAGGCATTTTGTTGAGAAGTTCCTCCTCACTAGCATATCTCTGTCCCAAGGGCAGCCTTTTTTCCATGGTTATATCCCTGCAGATGTTAACATTTACAAAAGGACTTTAAAGAAATGTAAAGCAGGCACTATTTCCCCGCTACCAATTTGTTTAACCACTGAAGGTAAAAAACTGTTTTTTAGATATGCACATTTAATAATTTCCTTATAAGAAACACAGGATTTCTTTACTCCTAGAAATGGCTACGAATAAATTGGTTTTCTAAGATTACAACATGGTAGATTTTCCTTTTTAAACCAGACTTAGAAAATCCTCTCCTTCCTCATGTACACTCTAGCCCACCATGCTGATAAATAAGCACAGTTACCAAGAGCTAGGTGGTACATGCTATGTATTTTTTAAAAGCCATGTATTTTCCCAAACAAACAGAACGATGTCTCATAATATCTGACCCACTAATAAAGCTTAGTGTGGATACAGATCGAATCTAACTTCGTTGCTATTCTGTCTTGTGCTTGTACATCTGGGACTTGTTAAACAACAGTTTGTAAGCCTGGTGAGGGAGGGAGGGATCTTAGTCTCTGTTCATTTCATATTTCAATGGTTTTGATTAATGCTAAATAATTTAAGTAATGTTGAAAAGGTTCATTCATCAGGCTAGAGGATAGAACTTTATAGAAAGATGTATTAATGATCTTTCAAAACTGCTAGGATCCAAGTAGTTACCTTTTCTTCAAGACACCGAAACTATTCTAGCTTCTTCCAGAAACAACAAAATCTCTCCTGATCAGCCTGAGTTAACATAATCAAGATTTTCTGAAACCATAAGCTTTATTTCAATTTGAAGTGAACTCCTGACCAGTAGTCTTTGAAGTTTTTATTTAGGAAAAGTTTTTATTGTAACTTTCTGGTAAAATACTTAGGGATTGAATTACAATAGAAGATTCTAACAGATTCTATCTTTTGGATTTAAGACAATTTGGAGGAGGGGCCTTAGAAAAAAACAAGCTCTGTTGGGAGAAAAGAGCAGCTGTTGAAAACACAACAAAGGTTGTCTGATCAAAGGGCAATTTGGAAAGGGGAAAATGAAGGTAATCCAAAAGCCGGCACTGTGAACCACCTCTTGCTCTCGTGTATCTTCTCACCCTCAGCCTGCAAACATGCTCACGTAATTTCCCACCTGAGGAAATCAAAAATCTTTCCTCAACCTTGTGTCCTGCCCCACACTTCCCAACCACCCCTAACCTTTATCACCCTCTCTGTTCCTCTGCAGTCAAAGCTCTTGAAAGAGTGGTCTACTAAGCTCCACTTCGCCTCCCTTCACTCACTCCTGACCCCCTGTAGTCCTTCCGCCCCATCAGCTCCCAGGAAATGATCCCACAAGGTAACTAATGCCTCATGATAGCCAAATCCAACTTGCTCTTGTTTTAAGCATTCCCTTTTTGCTTAAAATTTCCCTTGACTTTGGCAATATTACTTATCCCCATTCCCGCCCCCCCAACAAAATATAGTCAATGATCCTTTCCATTCCTTCTTTTTGGCAGAACTTTCCAGACCTTTGCCAAAGCATATATACCCTGAATGCTGGCATTCCAGAGGTTCCACCCTTTGTTCTCCTCTCTTCTTACTCTTCATATTCTCCCTGGACAATCTCATTTCCTTTAGACCCTTCTCCAGCTTCTGATAGTATCAAAATATATACACTGTTAACTCTCAGATAAACATGTACAGCCCAGACTTCTCTCCCAAGTGCTAGGTCTGCAAGTCTGCCTGTCTACTAGGCATCCCCACTTGAAGGCACATTCAATGTGTCTAAGCCTAGGCTCAGAATCTAACTCCCCAGCCAGGTGTAGTCCTCCTCCATGTTCTTTTTCTGTCAATGGCACCGCCATCCTTCAAGTCATCCCAGCTAGAACCTTAGAGTCATTATTTATCTTTTCTCCTTTATCCCTTTTATATTCTACTGTTTATCAGGTCCTCTTCATTCTACCTTCCAAATTATGTTTCGGATACGTCCCTCCTCTCCATCCCCACTGCTAATGACTTAGTCCAACCCTCATCCTCTCCTATTCGAACCAGTGTAATAGCCACTCAACTGCTCTCCCAACTTAAAATCTTTCCCATATTAATCTATCCCACAATTTATCCACTAAATCTATCT